GAATGCTAGGTTTTGATTCAAGTACATATAGGTTCACATAAAGTAATAGTTTCATACAAGTTATAGTATAACTAATTAATACGTAGGTGTAAAGCTTCCATCCATAAAGACTTGGAACAGATGACAGGAGCTTTTATGCAAAGGCTTCAAGTAGGTGTTGACAAGAGTTTGGCTGGAATTGTGCTCGGTTGGGTTCAAAACTGGTTACAATAAAATTGGGTCTGGTCTGGTTCAGACTGGTTGATCTAGACTGGTCTGGTCTGAACTGGTTCAGTCAGACCTAGCCTGAATTGGTTCAGTGTGCTCTAGCCTGGAGTGAATTCTGGTCTGGTCCAGATTGGGTTCGGGTCTGGTCCGAACTGGGCTGGGTAAAGTCAATACTGAGCTGAGTCAACTGGTTAATCTAAGGACCCATACTTATCTATCTTATGTAATTTAGACCCGTTGATAATTGATGCGAACCGGGTCGGTTTCAAATTTAAACCGACCCAAAGAAAATTCTTTTGAAAAAAATAAAAGCTTATGGGATTCGAACTCCGGATCTCTATGCTAGTGGCCATGCCTCTTAACCATTATACCCAAGGGTTCTCTTCATTTGACTTGCTGCAGGAAATCCTTTAACCCTGGTTTCAGTTGACTATGAGAAAAATAGAAATTTTAGATAAATAAGATATTAAGGATTTAGAAAACTTAAATACTCGGTTTGTGGGCGAAGATTATTAATTATTAGGCTTCAAGAACCTCACAGCTTGTAACTCCTATTCCAATATGTTAAAATCTCAAATTTATTGATAGAAAGAAGTAGCTTATGAAGTTCAGAACTGGCACGAGTTATTGAGCAAAGTTTAATTTATATAAGTATACAGGATCACCCTCACTAATGTTGCCTAATAAAGGCCCCCGGCTTAATTGTGGCAACCAATGGGACAACATAATTTGTTCTCATAAAAGATGTGAAGATGCAATCACGTGAGTTTTTTGGAATCATTGTGATTAATGGTGCAACAACAAAAATATATAATAAGAAAATAGAAGAAACCAACATACAACCAAGATCCCTTCAAGCAACAGTGACAAGTAGCCAAATGAACATATATGATTAATGGATAGCTACAGAATGTGTTAGAAGTGTATACTAAACTCCTCAATTCAGTAACCAGTGGTTTTTACAACATTGCAATGTTTAGCATTTCATTTTCATTATCTTGTCCCCACAATTTGCTAAACTATGTTTGAAATGTGAGTAATTTATTTATCAGTCATGCATGAACAAGGAGTAAGATAATGAATAGAGATTTTGGATCAGACAGTTGGAAGAATTTTCGAGTGAAAGGATCATAAACAAGATAAGATTAAAATAAGGCATGAGTAAACAACCCAAACATAGAAGAAATGAACACATGCCGATTTTGAAAAATAAGGCGATCATGAAAAATAAAAGAGTTGAAGGATAAGAAATGCTTGCCGATTAATGTCGAACCACAAATTCAAGCAACGATCATTCTCCCTTCCTCTTCAAGCCTTAATTGTTGTCTTCCCTCTCTCTCTCTCTCTTTCCGTGAGCAGAGAGGTGGAAGAGGGTTTATGGAGGGATTAATTAGGATTAGTGGAGGATTTAGGAGGAATTAGTGGAAGGAGTAGTGGAGGAGTTAGGATTTAGTGGATTTGTTAGGATCCCTTGATATTTGGTTAGTGAGTTTGTTAGGATCCCTTAATTTTTAGTTAATGGATTTGCTTAGGATATATATATAGGTATATATACTATAATATAATAGTATTTAGTATTAGGTATAGTTATGTTATAGTAATATATACTGGTACCAAGCAAAATTTTGTGCTTGGTAGTGAGGGTACAAATCCCCTCCACTCATTCAAAAATGTGGGGACTACCATTTCACAGGTTGAGAAAGAGCATAAAGATAGCTCACCCATTTAAGAGTAAGGATTATGCACCTCACTTACCCACAAATTTTTTGTGGGGTACCAACATACCCATTCCTTCTCTCTCTCTCTCTCCTCCCTCCTATAGTATATATATATAATGTATAATATAATCTATATATATATATGTTATATATATAGTTATATATGGATATATGTAGAAGAGAGAGAGAGACTTATTCTAGGAAAAGAATCCTCCCACTCTAATAGCCCATGAATTTGTATCTAACGGTTGGAGATTTTAAAGATCAGGCATCAATAAATTAGGGAACAGTTGATTATAATTAGACTTATTGGATACTCCTCCAATTGTGAGGTTGGGAAATGAATAGTTTTTCAGTCTAACAAACTTATTTAGTTTTTTTTTTCTTCTTCACCTCTCTTCCATTCGTGCTCTTCCTCATATATAACCTGATACCCTTCAGTATAGTTTTGGGTTTTTTACTCTTTGATAGGTATGATTAAAACAAATTCGCTCTAGTATTTTCTTAGAAAACAGAGCTTATTGAGGATTAGCCAAACATCAAGAATAACAAAGTTTGTATCCAAATTAATTAAGGATGATAAGTATAGTAGTTGAACCCTTGGGCTAATACAACTCAAGAATAACAAAGTTTGTATCCAAATTAATTAAAGATGATAAGTATAGTAGCCAAACATCAAGAATAACAAAGTTTGTATCCAAATTAATTAAAGATGATAAGTATAGTAGTCGAACCCTTGGGCTAATACAACTCAAAACGAACTGCTATATGTTTAAAAGAATTTCATTTGATGCATCATGGAAAACTAGATGATGACAAACAAGACAACTTTTGATTGCTTGCTTGACATTTAATTTCTGGCATGAGCAATGGAATTTAATTTTAGGGCAGGGATGGGTCCCTTGTAAAACATTAGTATACAAGCTTGCAATAATGATGACATAAAAATGAAATTAGGAAAGTGGATGATAATGGCTCTGAGATCCCCTAATTTTCTCCATTATAAATTAATTATCCTTTTACTATTTTACCTATTTGTAGTTATTAATTGATCCACAAGTTGGTGCCTTCAAATTTTTGATACTAGTGTTATAAATATAGGAGGAGATACTCTCGCTTCCTATGAAGAGAATAGCCCAACTCATATATATGTATGTGTGTGTGTATATGTGAGGATACTGGACAATGTTACATTAAACGTTGGGTGTTTCTAGACGTCAGACTTGGCGCCCAGCGCTTAGTCGTCTAAGCGGGCGCCTAAGCGCTGGGCGTTTTTTTTATTGTGATACTTAAAGATAGATATAAATATACTCAATCAAAGATGTATAAATACTAAAATACCAACACTATTAACTAAATTGCTTGGTTTACCAATTACAATAGCTCTTTGTATGTTTATACTTCTCAACTCAAATTATAAGTTCATCTCAACTCAAATTACAATATGTATTAAATTCATATAAATTTTAAAAAAAAAAGCAATTTTAGTTCCACAATAAATCATGCATACTTAGATACTAAATAGCCAAAATAATAATTAACAAGGCTAGAGCCTAAGATGTTTTTTTTAATTACAATAATTGATAGTAAATATCAATGTTACAGAAAGCTTAGATGCCGGACTGGTGTCTAGGAGGATTTCTTTCTTCATTTAAGTGGTGGTCGATGAGGTTTTGTTGAAGGTCAGAAGAGGTAGTGGAGGCGTTCATATTTGGAGGATAATGGAGTTTGGAGGACGTGTAGGCTACAACACATAAAATCACAACCAAGGCCTACAGGGTGCAATCCACGTAAGCAGACAATGCTCTCCTAAACGTTCGTAAAATTTAGGTGGACAACCTAAATACTGTCTAAGTGCTAGGCGCTAATTAGGCGGCCTAGGTACCGCCTAGGTCTAGGCGAACGTCTAAACGGACTAGACGGAGGTTTTTTAAAACAATGATACTGGGTATGAGCTGGTAGTATGTATGTATGTGAGGATACTGGGTATGAGCTAGTATGTATGTATGTATGTGAGGATACTGGGTATGAGCTGGTAGTATGTATGTGAGGATACTGGGTATGAGCTGGTAGAGCACCAGCTTTGTGACATGTGAGCCCCAACCCGATGTGACTAGCAGGAGGGCTCACGTGTCATTGAGCTCGTAGCCTATTTTGTAAAATGGGCCGTCAGCTCATACACACTTTTCCTTATATATGTGTGTGTGTATTTTTTTTTTTTGGGGGTCCACTTCCCAGGAATATGAGCAAATGAATCAACACTGGAATGAGTCTAATAACTATTCATGCCATAAAGATCACTAATCAAAAAGGCACAAGGACTTTAAGGCATCATCCTCGTGTGCATTTGTTTTTGGGCTTTATTTGTGTTGTGTAAGATGTTGAAAATGTTTTTCTGACTAAGTCACTAGGTGGATAACTTCCTTCAGTTGACCTTTATAATTGCAAGCAAGGTTGCACTTATTTTATAGGCTATTTAGCTTTTCCGTTTTATGTGTTACTTTTGTATCTGAACCTTTTGAAGTTAGGCAACTCAAAGTTATTGGTGGGATTTCCATTTTTTCCCCCGTAGGGCCCCTTTCGCAGTCCAGACCTACTTGAATAGCACAACTGTTGTAATACCTAATAATTAGAAATTGGGGATAGGCATGTCATCAACGCGGATCGACCCTTGGCCTTTTTTAGCCTGGTCCCTAAGCCTGAGCCCCTAGGCCACTTGCAGGGTATTTCCATGTTATTTTGCTGCAGTGGTAGAACAGTAGTCTTTACTGGTACTTGATATTTTAGTTTTTATCAGACTAGTATGCACGTCTTTTAATCACTAGGAAATGTTTCCCAGTCCGCCCTAAAATAAAAGTAAACATATGCAGTGGCAACAAAGACCATCTTATTCAGACAGCTGAGCAGGACCTTTCAAAGGATTATGATGCTATATGCGACTGTTACATTTTTGTACAACAGAATTAGTGAAGTTACCATGCTCATGAAATCAGTTGCATTTTCCTTTATTTTTATTCAAGAACCTACCAGCATTAACCAAAGTTTAAAGACTTGTTTAAATCTGCCATGTTTCAGGTGTTTGAGCGGTCCATTCAATGTGTTTTCCAAAGCTTTGAAGAGGTAACAAAAACTGTATGCTCATGACCGCTGGTTTATCACTTTTTCACATAGTTTCTAAACATACTATGATAATTGCTTTTTTGCTTTGGTGGCAGTCCTTTTTTTGTATTGTTCAGGATTAATCTGTACCCTCATGCTTATCTGCCATGTTTTCTATTGGTCCTGTTCTAGCATGTCTGTTAACACATATCAAGCATATTGTAGTTGCTCACCAATGAAAGTCTTTTTAAATGACACTACAAACAGGAATTTCGTTCCCCAGAAGTTCTTTATGTTCTAGAATATTGTTTTTATTGTAAAAACAACCTTCTTCCACACATCGCTGATACGATCACAATTTCTTGTTAGATCCTTTTGCCTTTCCTTAAATTTGAAATGAAATTTATTGCTTAATATCAGAAGTTAAATTCTCCTAATATCTAATAGTGCTTCCTCCTAAGATCTAATTGTGCGTCCTTCTAACTTTAAAATCTCATTCTGTTCTCTTAAGGGAACCCTCTCTAGCATACTGTTGATTGATATAAACAGAAATTCCAGTAATTATTCATATTTTTCTCACTGAAGTATATAATCTTCTTACTCAACTCATGTAAGTTCTAGCTGGTTGATGGAGAACAGATTTGTCAGAGATCATAGATAAATCTTCCTAGCGCACCACTTGTACTTTTTCAAATCAGAAAATGACACTTTAATGCTAAATTATATGAAACTTTCAGTCGCTCAAAGCATATGGGATGGTAAAGAGGTAAAGTTGGTGATTCCATTTCATGATTGATCCTTAATAAGATCAAACACTTAACAGAGAATGGACCTGCCATCACATAGGTGACCTGCTCTTTCTACTGACATTCAGTCCTCCTTTGTATCCGTGGTTGCTTCTTCCTAAGTTTGCTGGAGAGTTGTCAAGTGTCAAAAGGTAAGTAATATGAATATCTAGCAGACTGACTTATCCTACAAAACATAGTAGTTTCATCCACATGTTATTATGGTCCCTCATTTCTGCAAAGTGCCCATGTCACTTGACTCCTATCCTGCATCTTTGTGAACTTTCATGATCATTCAAGCTAGCTGCTGACCTCTAATATTTTTATGTTTGAAAGCACTGCAAACAAGTTCAAAAGCACTGCTTGATGTCATTTTTTAGTTTGTTTTAACTTATAATGCATATTTAACAATATTTTGTTTTATTAACTTTTGCTGGTCGCAGTATTTGAATTTATTTCTTACCCGAATTGATGGTCTAAGGCGGAGGATTTCTTTTGATGGAAAAAAAGAGGATGGGCTGCATTATACTCTGATAAGGGATATGTTTCAGGTTTTCTTCTGTCTTCACATGTGTATATCTTCTTTGCCAAGTGTCCATATTTTCTTTTGTAAGGTCATTCATAAAAAGTTTAAAATAAAATTATCTTCTTAAGTGCTATATGCTCGATTTATAAGCTTTTCTTGCAGCTGAATTTTCTATTATTGGTGTTGCATTCAATAGTCATATAATCATTTCTCTGGAAATCTCGAGGCACAATTATTCAGTTTCCCTGATATAATTTTTGTCAATGATCAAGCTCAAGTTATTTGCGCTTACCTTCCTTTTCCTATGTATAATCCTTCCTTTACTTCATAACTATTTTCCTATTTTAGGCTATTAAATACAATGACTATTCCCTCATAACTTAGAATTCTGGTTTGTCACAATTGGATTTGGACTGGCATTTATGGCTCACGGGTAGTCATATCAAGATTAAAGCCAAATGCGCAAGTGGTGAATTGGATCCTGAATTCGGCCTCTACCCCCAACAGATTTTCTGCTAATCATATATTTGATTGTGTAGGAGCACCGAGAGAAACTCAAAACTATCGATCCTCTCCTTTGTCTAAGCTCCTGTTTTTATGTCAAAACAGAAATTGCTCTCATACATCAGCTGCTGATTATTGTACTAATAAAAGATGATTGCTATGCTAACACTTTCTATTGCCTCATTTTCCCTCTAAATTTTGATAATTTTTAACTATGCTCATTATTTCTAATTAATCCTTCACTAATTACTCATAATCTCTTATTAAGTATGCACCTTCTCATTTTCCCAAAACCTTTGGTCATTCGCTACAATATAATTAATAGCTTATAATAATAAAACTACTATTAAATAAGTTATAATCTATTATAACTTATTGCTAACTATAAATAAAGAAGAAGAAATAAGTTATTTAATAAGTTATCATAAAAACTTATAATTATCAATAAAAATGTTATTATTAATTATTTAATAATAGTATAATAAATAATTTATGAAACAATTATACATGATCTATTAAATAATATACTATTAAATTATAAATAAAATAATAGTTTAAATCTATGAAGCACGAACATGCCAAAATTAGCCCTGATTCCGTGTCCGACTCGTGTTGGACGTGGACACGCGTTCGACACGAGACGAACACACAGTCAACTCTACCTACGCGGTCAACGCACCGACATGTCCCAGGTTCGTGAGCGACTCGTTCCCGACTCGTTCGCGAACAAAAAAGAAAACCCCAAACCTAAACCCGAAACCCCAACCCAAACCCAAACCCGAACCCTAATTTCATTACTTACCGTCCTGACGCCGCCAGTCCCGCCAGTCTCTCTTCCTCGTCCTCGTCTCTCTCTCCCTCGAGATCGGCTCTTCCTCGTCCTCATCTCTCTCGAGCTCGAGATTAGCTCTTCCTCGTCCTCGACGTCGCCAGTCTCTCGACGTTAGGTCAGTCTCTCTCTTTCTCTCTCTGAATCTGTCTCTCTCCCGATCTCTCTCTCTCTCTCTGATTCTCTCTATTTCTCTCTGAATCCGTCATTCTCTCTCCCGATCTCTCTGTGATTCTCTTTCTCTCTCTCTCTGAATCCGTCTCTCTCAATCTCTCCGCCTCTCTCAGTCTCCTTGTTTATATATGTGCACTTAAATTTTTTAATATAAATATACTGTTAATTAAATTAGGGTTCCTATTGTTACATTTTAATTTACTATTTTCTTTTAATTTAATGTTAATTAATTAGAGTTTCATTAATTTACTGTTAATTAATTAGGTTTTTTTAATTTTCTATTAATTAAAGTTTTTGTTACATTTTAATTTACTGTTTTCTATTAATTTACTGTTAATTAATTAGGGTTCCATTAATTTACTGTTAATTAATTAGGGTTCTATTTTTTAATTTATTGTTAATTAGGATTTTAGTTACTATTTTTCTATTGTTAATTTTTTAATTTACTGTTATTGCTATTGTACTTTAGAGAAATGGAACAAGAAGGGAGTTCTAGTGACAGAGAAAAAGGTCAAAAACTCACCTTTCACTATTTCCCGCCTCTGGGGGGTCACTGGTCGCCGACTTGTCGTCGCGGTTGAGATGGGGAAGCGGTATGGTGAGATGGGGGAAGCAAATTGGGGAAGCAGAGATGTGAGAGAGAGGAGAGAGGGAGAGAGAAGCAGTCGAAAAAAAGAAAACAAAGAAAAAAAGGTCAAAAAACTTACAAATAACCGATGCCTCTGGGTGGTCGCCGCCTCGTCGCCTAGATGGGGGAAGCAACCGATGCCCTAGGATGAGAGAAGAGAGAGGGAGAGAGAAGCAGCCGCCAGATGGGAGAAGAGAGAGGGATCGGGTCTTTGTTTTTAGGTTTTATTTCAAAACGGGTTTACAAACAGTGGGTTTTTAAACCCAATAACCGCTTTGTAATCCTCAGCGTGTCGGCGTGTCGAGAATGAATCGGCAAAAATTGGCGTGTCGACGGCGTGTCGGTGGCGTTGACCCTTGTCGGGGGTGTTGACCGCGTGTCCGACGTGTGTCAGACGCGGACACCACGTGTCTGATGCGTGTTGAACGCGTGTCCGCGTCCGACACGCATTAGAGACGGACTCGGGGCAAAATTTGGAGTGTCGATGCTTCATAGTACGAGAAAGGTGCTTGTTCTTCCGATATATCCATCGGCGAGTAATCCCCCAATACCAACGTATATACACGTCTAGGTCTAGTGCATCACATGGTATTTAATGATCAGCAGTATTGGGCATTGTTTAGTTGCTAAATACATGGTATTTAATGATCAACACTATTGGTATTGTTGTTAGCTACCACCGAATTCTCTAGTTAAGAAAAGACTTCTATTTAGATGTTGCCTTTTTTGTTGTAAGTTTAGTGTATTTTTAACGAATATTTTGTTAAACACCTTCAACTGCAACTCAAATTTAGTTCTTCAGCCTTCTTTTACTTCTTACCTTTTATCTTTTGATGTTGTTCCAGAGATGAACTGGATTTGTATATCCTATACAAACCTACGAAAGGTTAGGAGAAAAGAAAGAGAGAAAGGAGAAGTGTGTTTTTGAGAGAGCCACTAAGACTAATGAAATCAAGAGTGTGATAGATGAGAGAGATGGAAAATAAAGTGAGGGAACGAGGGGAAAAAAGAGCTTGAGGGGAAAAAGATGGAACAATGCGATGGGTTTGAAGAGCTTAAAAGGATATGTTGGAGAAGGATACACTGCCTTTTAATGGGTGTAAAATTTGACCATTGACGCCATCAAAGGTATAATGGTCCACTTAAAAAATTAATCAAAAGTTAATAGGAAAAGCATAGAAACTAAAGTTAAATTTGACCAGGTTCTTTTTTCAAACAACTTAAGATTTTGGGGTCTTATTTAGAAATGCTAAGATTTGGGGGTCTAATATGGAAATAAGGAAGATTTGGGAGTCTTATATCATAAAGAACCTAAATATATTAAAATATTTAATAATTATAGTATATTGTAATTATTGAAATACGTTATGATTGAGTTATAACAATCATCCAAATTATAATGATTATTCATAGAATTCTTTACTACGAAAAATTCAAAACATAAGCAATTGCGGCCACGTGCAAAGCACATGCACTTTTCTAGTTATTATATGGCTTGGTTCAAAATTTCTTTTTACAGTAGTTTATGTTACTTGCTTCTTTGTTGAAGTATACATAAGGCTGAGGTTGGTATTGTATTGAGCATCTCAAGCATTGCTACGTTGACATGCAACACAATATTTCCAAATCTTCTCTCTTTCCCCATAGCATCATGAAAATATCACATTATCCTCAGAACTATAATGGTAATACACATATTGTTTATAAATGTATCTGAAATTAAACAAGAATAGCTTTACAACTCTATCGATTTCGATAAGTTGATGGAAGAGGCCAACAACAATGGAGAGGAAGTATATTAGCTCAGTGTTGTGAAGGCACAGAGCAACGCGCAAAAGATGTAATGTGTCAGACACGCAAGGTGCAAGGAAAAGCGTGAGCCTTGCTGAAGTGAGCTGCAACTACTTTTAGGATAACTTTTTCAACTTGTTTCGTACAAAGATGGCTTGTAGAACTTCACCCACAGCAGAATATATTTAATGGTCTGGAATTGGGAGCTCCTTATCCCACTGTTTTCTTAGCCCTCTGTATTTAATTCATTGAACTTCTAGAACAAATTTAAAGGATATAATCATTTAAAAATTTAAAAATCTTAATAATACTATTATGAGCATGGATTTCTTCAATCTTAGATCTGAATGAAGTTTCAATTTGGTACGTCAATTTCTAAGATGGTAAGACATGTTTATTTAATAATGATAGGTCAAAATTTTCATGAACTATCCGTTTCCTGCTCTATATCTCTTTCATTTTCTTAAACAATAGCACCATACTTTGCAAGAGTATAGTTTTGAATTTTTTTATAAAGGATACATGCGTTTAAGAATTGCTAACTTCTACATGAGCTCAAAGGAATCTAATTACATCTATGGCTGAGATGTGGACCTGTATCGGTAAGTAAGCAACTTACGAAATTGCCAGATTTATTACACCTAAGGAACCATGTACATTGTAGCTTGTACTTGACTTTTTCTATATAGTTTTGTTTACCATTACAGGTGCACCCTTATTTGACTTAAACTTTTTTCTGTTTTTCTCTGGATATGACAATTGCAGCGAGCTGCTGATTACTTCTCTGCAGAGATGATCAGAATTGATGATTTATTGCGTTTGTATTCTTATTGGGCTCGTTTAGAGGTTACCCTTGGAAAAGATATTGTTGCAGCTCGTGATGTTTGGGAAAGCTTGATTAAGAAAAGGTTTGCTCCTGCACATTTAAACATGTAATTTGAAATTTTAAGACATACATGAATCAAACTAACTTATCCCTTGAGTACTTAAAGTAAGAAAACTATTGTCAAGCATTCTTACTTGTTTTCTTTGCTTATATGCACCATTATGCTCAGTGGATCTATACTGGAAGTGTGGCAAGGTTATATAGAGATGAGAATTGGATTTGGTCATATAAATGAGGCGCGATCCCTTTATAGGAGATGCTACACTAAAAGATTATCAGGAACAGGTTCTGAGGTAACTATCTTGTAATTTGTGCTATAGCAATGTCGTGCATACTTCTTTTTCTAATTTGATTTGTTCCTAGGGTACTCTGTGACTTCTTTTTACATTAAATAGTCATTCAGTATAGAAATCTGCACATTATTTTGCATCTCCATGCATACAACTTCTGACACACTATACATGCCTGGGCCATTGGTAAAGCAAGAGTTGAGTTATTGTATGTTCCAAGTCCAAGACCAGACTATAATGTTTGTTCAAAAAAATCCTTTAAAACACCCTATGAGCATGCAAACTGAATCAAGGTTTTAAATATCGAATGTCGTGGAAATATTGAACAAGCATTATTCATATCATGTGGATATCAGGGAAGTATCAGGAATATGTGGTAAAAATTGGAGTGATACACTGCATGATATGCAAATATAATATAATGTCCTAAAATATAATCTAAATTTACTTAATTAAATCAAGGCACACAAAAATATAAATAATATATATTTAGGATTACTAATCAACATTTTAAAACAAAAAAAGTCCAAATCAATATTGCAACTTCTCGGTCAATTTTTTGGAGGTCGAAATGTAACTTGATATATTGAAAAAATCATGATATGTCGTCCAAAAGCGGTATAATGTTTTCCAACTATCTATATAGAGTGACATATCGACCAAAATATCAACTGATATATCACAATGTTAGGCATATAAGACCAAATTTTGCCAAAAAGATGTAAAGGATATTTAGGTCATCATTTTGCGGCAAGCCTTATCAAAGGATATATCGGCCAATATATCGGGCCATATGTTGGGCATATTTAAAACAATGAGTTGAATATAGTTGATAGACGTAGGTTATCTATGTTCAGCGGGCACATCAGTACTATTTGCTGAATGCAGATGTAATGTAGTGTTTCCATGAATTCATCTTCTTCCAAGCCTTTTCCCCCATTAAGCTAGTGTTTCCATAAATTTCTTCATCCAAGCCTTTCCCCCCCATTAAGTTGGACAGCTTGAGTAGCCTTTCCCCCCCATTAAGTTGGACAGCTTGAGTGAGGATGGAGACTTGCCTGTTTCCAAACAAATTTGTATGCATTTTTTTAATTAAAATTTTACGATAGGCATCTGTTTTGACGGTTTCTACTTGGTCTAGCTTGCCCAACTTGTACCTCTATAAGTTAGTTCTAAATTCTTAGTCATAAAAAAAGAAAATGGCATGCCTTGCTATAAAACCTTGAAGACCATTTGATAGGTCAAAATTATAATTTTTTATATGTATTGTTTAAGCTCTTACAATGGAGTAAGCCTCCACATTGTCCTAACTTAAAATAGTCCAAGACAAAGTGGTAATATGATCTCTTTTTTCTACCAAACAAATCATGTCCCAAGTATAATATGATATAGGAGATTTGAAGAGTTTCTATATAGTACAAATAATAGTAGAAATAATTTCGAGAAAGGAAATACTGAAGTATCACTAAGGAATACTAATTGAATCTGTAAATATGTGACTCTTACTTGATCATTTAATCTGGCATTTTCTAATGTTTTTATATAATTTTCTTGCATAAGATTGGCAAATTAGAAAATTAATGTGTACATGGGGTGAAATTGTTCTAGCAATATGCGTAAGATAGGCAAATTAGAAGACTACAGATGGATAGAATTTTTCATTTGGTTACATGACATTGCTTTGTAGTGTTCCTAGTGATTTGATTAGTTCTATCTGTTTTTGTATGTGACGCTCGTTACAGATTAATGTTGATGTTAAAGAGTAGCAAACCATTACTGACAACCAGCATACTTGTACATGTATACATGGTATAGACTACAGTTAACATATAATGCTGCTAGAAAAAATTCTCACTTTTTTTTGGAAATTGTAAAGCCATCATTGAGAAAAAAAAAAGAGATTGATTTAATATTAAGTTTGAAATACATCTCCGTCAGCATACATAGTAATTAGGTGAGAAGTTATAAATGACATTGCTTTGTAGTGTTCCTAGTGATTTGATTAGTTCTACATGTTTTTGTATGTGACGCTCATTACAGATTAATGTTGATGTTAAAGAGCAGCAAACCATTACTGACAACCAGCATACTTGTACATGTATACAGGGTATAGACTACAGTTAACATATAATGCTGCTAGAAAAAATTCTCACTTTTTTTTTGGAAATTGTAAAGCCATCATTGAGCAAAAAAAAAAGAGATTGATTTAATATTAAGTTTGAAATACATCTCCGTCATCATACATAGTAATTAGGTGAGAAGTTCTTTATAACAACAACAACAAGCCTTTGTCACAAATTTTTGGGTCTTCTACATGAATCATATTCTTCCATTTGGTTCTATTAAGGGCAATCTCCTCCGTTAAGTTAATCATTATTATAGAAAAATAGAGAAGGCCAACTTATGAAAGAGAATTGCTATGCCAACTTTTGAATAATTTTTTTGGCCTCTTAATTTTGATAATTTACAATTATACCTCTTCTTTATAATTAATCATGCACTAATTATCCGTATTAACTGTGCCTTCTAAACTAACCTTTTAACAACTAATAGTTACATATGTTGCAAAAAACAGAGAAGACAAACTTATGAAAGAGAATTGCCATTAGGGCTGGTAAACGACCGAATCGAAGCAAACCACCACTTATTCAAATTCAGATTCGGTCCATTTCTACATATTTGAATTCGTGATCATATTCGAGTCGAATACTAAATGACCATTCAAATATGATTTGACAATATTTATTCGCGTTCGATAATTATTCGCGAATATTTGTTTAACAACAAATTGCGATTTTCCCTGCATTATTCGTTTAATATTCGATATCTATTCGTCAATTATTCGAAATGGATAAATCAACCTCTGATCAAAATTTAAAAAAATTATAACTTTAAGCCTCAACTTACATTTTGATGAAGGGGTGACATGTTGGGGAGGTAGAGGTGAAGCCGGTGGAGTTTCGTCAGGTTTGGGGAGGTAGCGACTGATGGAGACCCCAATGGTGAAGCCGAGATGACTGAAGTGTTGATGAAGACCCGATTCTGAGATGAAGAGTCAAAGATTCGAGGAAGGATCAATATTGGTTATCGGGGATTTATCAGACGGCTAAAATGCTTGTCGGATAATAAAAATCAAGGATATATTGGGGATAAATATTATTTACCGGAGTGATATACCATATGATGTGTATATATAATATAATACCCCGAATTGTAATCTAACCATACTCCCCTCTTTCATTCTCGCAACCTTCACTTAATAACTAGAGAAAAAACCAACTGAATAGTGAATATTATTTGTTGCTACAACTTCAGAAGTTGTGTTGAGGGCGTGGCGTTGATGGAGAGTCCAAGTCGAACTGTTGAAGTCACAGTTGATGATGGCGTCGATGGAGAGAGTTCGACATCGATGGAGAGCTCATCTCGATCAACGTCGTCGAGTCAATCAGATCAGTTGATGATGGCGTTGATGGAGAGAGCACAACATTAGTCGAAGTCGTCAAGTCGATGAAGTTAATGTCGATGAGAGAGCAGTGTCGAATGGTCGAAGTCGATAGGGTTGAGGTCAGCGGAATCCGAGGAGGAGCGGAGGCAAGCGTCGAGGTAGACGGAGTTTAAAGAGAAATGGAGATCAAATGATTAGGGCAGTGGGCACAACCGCACAAATGAGAGAGAGAGGACGGAGGATTAGGGCTACTTAATCGAGTTTAAGTTTTATTGTAAAGAACGGGTCGTGTCGGGTTTCAAGTTCACTCAAAAACTGTCATTACCCAAAATCACAACCCAATAGTGTGGCCCGATAATTCTGATTTTTAGAGCCGCTAATATCGGCTGATAATCACCTTTATCGCCGATAAACCCCAAAAAAAGATAACCGATTTAAATTTTAACTTATCCTATTAGAAAGCTCCCAAAACCAATAACTTGAGGATAATATCGGATTATCGGCCGATATTTAAAACCTTGCTCGAGGTCAAGGGGGTAAATCAGCAAAGGCTGAGGGAGACTAGGAGAGTGTGAAGGATCGGTCGGCGAGAGGGAAGAGAGTGGAGCTTGAGTCTGCCGGCGAAAGGGAAGAGGCCGAAGCTTGAGTGAGAGCTCTTGATCTGCCGACGAGGGGAAGATCTGCCGACATGGGGAAGATTGGTGGAGCTTAAGAGAAGGTTTGGCCGACCTAGATTCCATGACTCCATCAACTTAAGTATTTATATGGGGTAATAGTTGTAAATAAAAATTTTGATAGGTAATATTTGCAATAAGTTTAATTGATAGGATTAAAATGTAAAAAGTTATCGAATAGTTAATAATCAACCGAATTGATCGTACCTTCGGTTAAATTCTATTCATTTACAAGCCAAATACTAAAAATTATTTGTTTAGTATTAAATGAACGATCGAATCGAACTTGACCGAATATCTAGACAAATAATAACCGAACTTTTTATTAATTATTCGGTTCACTTCCACCCCTAATTGCCATGTCATCTTTTAAATATATTTTATTGCCCACTAGTTATGATAATTCACAATTATACCTCTTCTTTATAATTAATTATTCACTAATTATCCGTAACCCCTTATTAATTATGCCTTTTAAACTAACCTTTTAACAATTAATATAACAATTAATATTGACCTATGTTACTTGGTTCTAATGTGAAGCCGTACCCAAACTCTTGGTATAAATGCATACATTTATCACGCATGTACTCAATTATACAATACATGTTTTAGTGTCAAACACTTGTCATACATTTTTTGGACATATATCCTACACTTCACACCCACTTCTTGAAACCCTGTTAGACATTTGTCATGTTCTGAATTATGATTTTGCAAGGTCGTTTGATTGTCCATTTTCAAAACTAGTAAAATTTCAATTTTTAATCTACATAATAAAAGAAACATAAAACTGTTATAGAACTTTTAGTTCTCATCATTGTTCTCATATAAACTATTAATTCTAATATATAATATATGTGTATATAAATATTTGTATAGCCGTGTCCTCGTACCCTACATTTTGCAAAGCAGAACCATGCAGTACCAGGCACAAGATAGAATCTTCCAAAGAATAATGCTTTTTTCGAATAAGCCAATTCATTTGTCATTGTATTGTGCTTTCTGAAGAGCAACTCTTCTCAAAATCTCAAAAGGTGAGTTGGAATCCTTTTCATTCTAAGGATTTTTGTGGTTTAGGAGAATCTAGCTACAGGAGAACCAGGAACAAAGAGCTCTTTTCCTTTTCCCGCCCGACTCTTTGGTCTTAAGAATGCTATTTTTATTTTAAGAACGAGTGATTGCCCTTCTCCGACTCTTACTGCCCAACCGGAGAGTGGATGGCTAATGCCTTCCACTTATTGAACAGGACCTATGGTCGGTCTGTGACCCCTATATGCTGAAGGCGTCCTTGGGGTGATCTCATTGCTTTTAAGGGGTGGAGATGATGGTGTCGGTCCATGGATATTCCTTCCTTTTGCCATATTTCGCTCAAAGCAAAGAGTTGAAGGGAGATGGTGCATCAAGCTATTCGCAAGGGCGAACTTGATCTTCTTCCCTGGGGATCCTAGATGATGGAATGCTAGGAGAGATGCCGACTCCAACAATCGTCCATGTACGATCCATACTAGATCTGACCAACTGCCCATCCTAGCTCCTCTACATTCTTGACGACCTATTTTTTGTGTGTCAGTAGAGTCTTTAAGTGGCATGTTTCAGAACCATTGGAACTTATAAATAAGATTTGATTTCATTTTTGAATTTCAATAATTCTTGAATTTTTAATAATTTTTAATTGGGTTAGTAGTAGTACCATCGTAGGTTCAGTTTTAACAATCAACTTTACGTACTATCTGTATGCTAGGTTCCCCTGAAAAATTTAGAATTTGAAATGAAAGTTTTTTCCATGGAAATAGAAATTAAGAACTGGCCCTTTTGTGTGTGTGCGCGCGCGTGTGCGTGTATTATTTTGAATACGCGAAATCAGATAAATGAAAAACAAATCATCAAAGAGACTTATTTTATCAATGAACAAAACTAGAAAATTAAATTAAATTCTATAGTATTTCATATTTATCATTTATCACAATTTAATTACTAGTAGTAAATTTCAATTTAAGGAATAACAATTTTGAGATTTTTCTTAGTATCATTAAGTATTAATTAACTATTCATATATTGTGTGCAAAATATCTAAATAAAATAAATTTCAATATTCATCACAATTTTCTTTTCCCAATAGAAAAATCATGAAATTTAAATACCTAAATAGCGAAGTAAAGAATCAGCAAAGTGAAGTAGAAAGATATAAACAGGATCAAACTAAATACATAAGACTTTAGCATATTATGTAACTAGAGCAACAATTGATTTGTTTGGATAATCCTTTCTGAGCAATGTTTTAGTTTGCCATCTCCTATAATCAGTTTTTTCTAGTTTCCGAGTCTCTGAAGGAGTATCTTTGATGACCAACAGATATACAAGGAAACACACTAAAAGGTGAGGGAGAAAAGTGAAAAACTCAAATGTTCCATACATTCTGTTTTCTTTCTAAACCAAGTAGGAAAAAGCAATAAGAAATGCGCAGAAATGTATTACCAGCCATCAACCCTGCTCAAAACCTATCTAGAAAGCAATAATTCAAATGTGCAGAAATGTATTACCAGCCATCAACCCTGCTCAAAACCTATCTAGAAAGCAATAATTCAATCATTTAATATGAATAAACCAAGATCTAAAATACAGCAAAAAGATATTTCTTCTCTACAGAAACGTTTCAAAAACTAAAGAAAGTTGTAGAAAACACTCATGGGCTTTCATCAGTCATCAAGAGGATTTGCATCAGTAAGGACTCCCCTCATATACATATTCTCCTAGATATCACCACATCCAAATGTTACCAATCCTCCAGGAGCGAGCGGAGGAGGACCCGAGTAATGCAGACAGTCTAGAGCAGTCTGTAACCATGACAGAGCTACGAAAGACGATTTTTAGCTGCACATGAATTAACAAGGCAACGAACAATCTCCACCTATTTCAAAAATTTCTTAAGATGGATAGTTAATATGATGGGAATGTAGGCAAGGTAGTTAGGGCATTAATTTTCTTATGTTAGCCACATGGGACCTATATGAGAACTAAAGTTGAAAGAGTATTAATACTGTTAGAATCCTGGGGATCTATTTGCTAACTTCAAAGTTCAGGATAGTAAGTTGCAAAGTCCCTATAATAAGGGGTCTATGTGCCCTAACTAATAAGAGACTAAAGATCAATGCTGGTTAGACCTCTTACTAAGTTGACCTTCTTTAGTCTTTCCCCCCACCTAATGGTTAAAATCTTAAGTATGTGGGCGCATGTGCTCTCTCTCTCTCTCTCTCTCTCTCTCTCTCTCTCTCTTCTCTCTCTCTTCTCTCTCTCACTCGTGTGTGTGCATATGTGAAAGCTTATAGTAGTGTTGTTATGATTGAGTTTTTTTTCATCGTGTTACTTGTACATCAAGCAGCCACAAAATTGGTGCTTTGCAAAGCATTAACGATGCTTCATTTTGATTCATAGATAGGAATGGTCTTTGGTAAGTCCCATTTGATAAGGCCTTAGTAGGAATGGAAAGGTCTTGTTGATTAGTCTTTGTGAGCACCAATATTTCTTGTTGTTACCTAGTTCCACTTAACTTTCTTGAGTAAAGACATGAATAAGGACTCGGTATGTGTAAAGAGATATTTATGGATGTGGGCTTACTTAAAAGTGTCTCATGTTACTCCGACTAGAGAGAGATTCAAAGATGAAACTTCATTGAAACTTTGTACACATGGTGAGGATTCTCCACTTGAATTAGTGAGGAATTAATGTTATAAACTTCTTCAGTTTCTGTTTCTCTCGACTTTGGAACTCTTGCTATGTTTATATGTGAAATAATGAGTCATCATGGTGATCTCGATACATCGCTGAAATTTCTGGTTACTATGTCTTTGTTTTAGATGCTAGAGTTGCTTTGGTAATGGATATGGTTCAACATTAAAATTGTTTTTATTTCAAAGCAACATAACGTCGAGGATCTTCAGAAACCAGCGATTGTAGCAACTTGCTGAACGCAGGCTTGTGGGTTTCTCTTGCAGTTTTTGACATCTGTAGTGTGTTTTTCCTGTCAGGCTGATGTAACGTATGGTATGGCCGGAAGGGGCCTTCATTGGGTAATTTTGTGAGGCTGTGTGTGTGCATGCAGCTGGGCTGTTGGTGAGGTGAACTCAATCCCTTAGATCAGTTATTGGAAAATAGTGTTAAGTTGGAGAGAGAGGGTTGACTTTAGAATAACAGTATCAATTTTTGGATGAAATGCTTTCTAAATTCTTCGTAATATACACAACTTCTATTCTCCCTTATCCTATGCCATTGTTCTTTGCCTGACTTAATGCAATAAATTTCCAAAATGGCTTTGATCATCACTTACATTGTCAAATGTAAGTTATTTGTATAGGTTGCTGTTGCTTCTGAAAGGCAAGTAACTTTCGTGTTAAAAAATTGTAACCGACATGTGACACCATGTTTTACTGTTGGGGCCTTTTCTCGGCCAACGAGCATTTGAATATCCAGATATCGCATGGTCGATTATACTAGAAGACCTCTTCTTAAGCCTAACAGAGACATACATATTCACTCTTCTTGGGATCTGGAAGTGTTTTGATTTACAGTTTTATTTATTCTTGACTAATATAAATATATACTACAGACTTATTTTTAGCACGCTACATTTTGGGTATCATTATTGTTATTTCCAGTTCCCTCAAATTTTTTTCTGACAGTATTATTTACAGTCTCTGTGATCATAGTTTGCTGCTTTGGATTCTCTAACTCTGTTTCATGCTTTTCCTGTTTCCTTTCACAACTTTTTTTTTGGACTTAATTTAAGGTTGACGGTCATAATTCCTTAAAAACTAAATATTTCAGGAGATCTGTTACTCATGGCTGCGTTTTGAACGGGAATATGGCACATTAGGCGATTTTGACCTTGCGTTGAGTAAGGTATTTAATCTTAAAATTATAGGTGTTTTCTTTTGATAAATTGTTAGTTACAGAAAATTCTGCATGCTTATCAGTTATCACACATAATCTGTAAAGTTGCTTGATTGAGTCCTGCTGCCTGTGGTTTTTATAGTTCTACAATGGTGCGTGAAAGATACGTTGCCTCTGTACGTTTGACCTTCAATGGCCCAAAAGTTTCAAGTATTTGTTGATTGAAGTTAATGTTGCAAATACCTGACATAACATTCTCATGCCTGACACTTTTCTTATTAGAAAATTGGCTTACCAAAAACATGCGAGTTCTAAGCGTGTTCTAATTCAAATTGGAGAGATTTTTTGTCTTAACACTATTACTTATGACATGGCCATGGACAAGCGGCAAGACAGTTCTTTCAAAAGAAGAGAGAGGGAGATAGGACGATGTCACGCTTTGATATAAGTAAATGAATAAATAACAATTAACAAATAATGATTAATAAATAATAAACAATATGTGAGTCAAAATATATTTGCATTTTGTAGTCTTAGACATGTCTGCACATACAAAAATCTAGAGGCATATTTTTAATGTATAATGTATGATGACAACAATTTTTAGAAATTTAACTTAATACAATTTTATAGTTTTGCAAATGGAATAGGTAGCTCAATGGTTCTCATATCTTATATTCTAACATATTTAACTGTCATGACTTTGTACAAGCCATATTAATGGCCTTTTTCTACTACACAGTAGTGTTTGATATATAAATGGAAGTATATAAATATCTCAAATATGTACTGTGGGATAAAAGAATATGAGAAATATAGGAGTTATGTCCAAGACTTATCTGACAAGTTTCTAAATATCTATAATAGAGCAGAGTCATAAAAGATACATTTGAAAATTTCCTCATTTATTTGAGGATTAAGTCAGGTAGGGGTATAAATGATGTAGTCTTTAATATTTTATAGCATGTTTGCTTTATCAGATATCTGGATAATTAAGGTTTTCATTTTTTACTGATATAAACATGTAAAATTATCTAGAGAAATGGAGTGGACCACTATTTAGAAATCAGCTCTGGAAGATAACTAGCTCTGGCCAATATATAATTATTATTTTACAAAATAGTGAAGTAAAATTATTGTACTTAGGAAGTTATATTTTGTGTGGGCATAATACATTTTCGTCATGTCGTGCATGCATATATTGTGCCTGGATTCAGGATTGTAATCTGATATGACGCCTTTCGCAAGTGTCATGTGCTTAGTGCTTTTACAAGGTTGTATTTGTATGGATCCAGCATTTCATTCTGATGTATTTTGTTTTCTTTATTATCATAGGTAACACCACGCCTGAAAGAGCTGGAGATGTTCAAGACCCAACAAGAGATAAACGGCTCTTCATTTCCTGCAAAAGAAAACAATTTGGTTTCAAGAAATGTTCCTGAAAAAAGAAAGATGATAACATCAACCAGTGTTAAGCAGCCTCCCTCAAAGAGACGGAAAGATGCAGCACCTAAAGCTGGCGAAGTATCTCATGCAGATTCAATTAAGAACTCCAAGAATAAGCATGATGCAGAAGTTACAGATAAAGCAGAAGCTGCCACTTCATCTAAATCTGTGGAAATTGATGCCAACACTAAACAATCTAAGAGAAACTTGTACACAGATCAGTGCACAGCATATATTTCGAATATTAACCTTGAGGCAAGTTGGCATTCTCACTTGAAAGTCTTGTGGTTCAAAATATATTCTCAATCAGCTTTGTTATGCAGGCAAAGGAGGAGCACTTGCGTGAATTCTTTTCAGACGGCGGTGGAGTAACTGCTATACGTCTACCGAAGGACAAACAAACTGGCAAACAAAGGGTCTCTCTCTCTCTCTGTGTGTGTGTGTGTTATCTGGCGCATAGAGAGCCAGTGGATGGAAAAATAAACATCCGTGCATTCAACACACAGACACACATGAAAAGCACTGCATATATACTATCTAATGCCCAACATACAAGCAGTCACATATTTATATAATATTCTATGACTGGATGAGATGACATAATACCTCTTAGTAAGACATACATATGAAAAGCACGTTGTATATACTATCTATCTAATGCCCAATATACAAGCAGTCACATATTTATATAATATTATCTGACCAGATGAGATGACAGAATACCTCTTAGTAAGACATGCATATGTGTTCGTGTTGAGAA